TGTTTTCACCTCCATCTTCCATGAAGTCTTTTCTATAACTTGTCTTTCCTTCACACTCTTGCTGAGCCAGCATTGCGTAACAACCCGTCTCTGACTTCATATGATAGACAGTTTTTATCTGCAATTTTTTGTTCCCTTAATGGAGTTAACATTTATAGTATGCCTTTGGAATTGCAAGAGATGGCATTTCTGATTCAATTACTTCTTCAGAAACTTGAGAGTCACAGGTGTGAGTTCATGGTGGGTGAGGAGTTATATGCAAGGCTGATGTACCAGCGGGACTTCACTCCGCGTGAACGTAGCTCCAGCACTGGACTGTGGATAACTGGGCCAGAATTTGGAAAATCTGAATCAGTATCCCAGGCAAACGTAAAGGTTCTTTACTACTCGGCTACCAGTGTCTGAGAACCTTTGCAAAAACCCAAACCCACTGCCACTGCGTCAATTCCAACTCCTTAGGTACCTTAGACAGGGCTTATTAGACTGTAAATCTTTATAGGAGCAGGTAGCTTCTTCTCTCTTCCTGTGGAGCAGCTGGGCTTGACCTTGCAGTCAGCAGTCCAATGCTTACCTGACAGCACCATCAGGGCTAAAGAGACTAACATACTGAAGTTGGAATTCAGGTTGGCACAGTTACTAGTGCAAGTTTACATTCAAGTGATTCATTCATATGTCTTTAAACCATAGGTCCTCTGCTGTACCACTTTGAAAATTTGGCAAATGAACTTTCTATAGAATTGAGCTATGAAGATATAAAAAATGTTGTTCTGCAGTATGGATTCCAGGTAGAGGTAAGGGTAAAATGAAGTATTTACAAAGTTTAATTTTCAGTTACTGGCTTTATGAATCTCTTCTCTATGTTCTCATTTGTAAAGTGAGGAGAATTTTGGATGTCAGAATTATAAAATTTGGGATAACATATGTAAAGGGAAAGCTGCAATCCTTCCTGTAATATAATTTATTTGTACGTGATAGCTGATCATCTTTATAGTATTTGACTATAGACTTCACTGATCAATACCAAGTAGATAGGTCTGTAGGGTAGCAGATAAGGAGCCGTGTGTCAAGGAATGCTTTTAACTATATGACCTCTGGTGTTGTTTTTCTTTCATCTTCTACACTATTAGGAAGTTTTATGATATTTTGACTATTGTGCTCCAGTTGTACATTTATTTAGAGGCATTCCATTGATTTGGTTTGTTAAATAGTGAAATAATGTATTACAGCAGTTTTGAATGCAAGTTCTGGCCTCCAAGTTTGAGTCCCAGTTCTGTTCTACCCTGTGTGTTTTCAGTGTGGCTTTGGACAACTTCTCGGAGCTGTCTGTGCTTCAGAGTCTTTGTTGTACAATGGGATTACTCGTAGCACCAATCCTAGGGGAGAATTAAGTGAATTAATACACGGAATAGTGGTGGTCACATTAAGTGTGCAGTGTTGTTGAGTGGCTATTATTAGTGAATTAATACGCGGAATAGTGGTGGTCACATTAAGTGTGTAGTATTGTTGAGTGGTTATTATTAGTGAATTAATACACGGGATAGTGGTGGTCACATTAAGTGTGTAGTA